TCAGGGGTATCTGAGGCAGGCTTGAAACACAAGAGTCAGGGTGGCTTCTGGGTAATACCAGATGGCTAGGCCTCAGACTGACGAAGCCTCTTGGATGAGGGGCGAAACGTTTCTTTTTAACAAAAAAACGAAGTCCAGATGACATGATTCAACCTTTTTTGTAGTTTCTTAAATACTTTGTTCTTTGAGGAAACTCCACTGACCTGTAAAACGAGTATTTCATCCTCTCAGGGTGTATTTAGACAAAGAACTGAACCAGAGTTCTGAACTGTATTTGCTCATCATCTAGGAACCGACTACCACGTCCTAGATGAGTGAACATTCACCAAGAGATCTGAACATGCACTTGGATATGGTCCTTTTCAGAACAGCTAGTCCAATGACGACAATGCTGCGTGCGCATGTGGCGCCATCCACTGACGGAAGGCAGTACTGCAGTAAATGCTAAATTTCAAATTTCTTTTCTAAAGCTCTAGGAGGACCTCTAGTGATATTTGAGGGGAACCTGTTATGAAAAGGATTTTTTTTTTTTTTTTAATATATAAAAAAAGTTCAAGATGAGGACGTGAGAATTGTTTATTTCAGGTGAAAACTGCATCATACAGTGATTAAATCTTAATAAATGGAAGAAAGTGAATCTTTTGCTGGTTAAAAGAGAGAGTTTAAAGAATTCCAAGTGAAAGTAAAATGACAAGCATGACACGCTTCGTTTTCAGATGTGAGTGTAGCGCAGGTATTGTTTCCCAGAAGGCACTTCTTTAGTCGTCACCCCGTTGGGGAAGAGAGTGGCAGCTTCAGAAGAGGAGAGGGAGGGAATGACCATGACTTTATCACCAGGCTAAGAGAAGGAGAGAAAAGTGAAAAAAAATGTGACTGGAAGCAGCATTTCCCCCCTTTGACAATATAAACAGCAGCAGGATTTTATGACTCAAATACGATCATGAGATGTTTTGAACTCTGACGTGTCGTTTGGAAAATGTTAACTCCCAAGAGATAAAGCTGTCCCCACAGCCTCGGTTCTCAACTCTAAATGAAGTTAAAACAAGCCAATAAAAGGGAGATCGAGGAGAACACCAGAAGTTAACCATTTGCAGGTTGAACCATCACATGAATCTAGTAAAATTTTATAACAAATTTGCCAACAACTGTAGCAACCACCTCAACTTGGCTGATTGTTCATTTGCCTCAGAGTTGTTAGAGCAATAAAGTGGAACCAGGAATGTCAATGTATGCATCAACTATACAGTTCATATTTACCGGTAGGTTAGAGTTGTTATATTCATAGGTTTAAGTATATACACATCTAGATCTATGCGCACCAACAAAAATGTATTTTCAATTCCATTATCGTGGCAACATTGAGCTCATCTTTGTGTTGTGGTTGAGAAGTACATTTTTCCTACCCCATTAATGTCCAAAAAAGTTTTAGGACAAAAACTGGTTTATCAAACCAGCCAGTCATGTGAATTTACTGCCGGTAAATAATTTTTTGGAATAATTTGCATGCAATAAATTCCCAACTGGCTTGTTTGTCAAATCGGCTATTGTCCTAAAAAAACCTCTTCGTATGCAATGATCCCAAAAAATGGGGTGGGGGGGGGGGGAGGGGGCGAGGGGTGGCTCAAAGGTTAGAGAAGGCAAGTCTGATCAGGTCGTCGGTTTAACTCCCAGTACCGACAACATCAAAATGTGGGTGGGAAAGGTAAAAACACATACACCTGCCTCCACCCTCATTTGCCCCACTATGGGCCCCTGAGCAAAGCCCTTAACCCCCACCATCTGCTTCCCCAGGTGCCCTAGATGGCAGCTCTCTGCTCCACACAGAGGGCTGTGGTTGAGTCAGGAAGGGCATAAAAACAATTGCCAAGTCCTCGTACGAGCTAGTTCACTGTGGCGACTCGAGGGAGCAGCCGAAAGAAGAAGAAAAAGAAATGAAAAAGGTAGCTCCATTCTTGAGAACAGGATGATAAATTGATGGAACAGAGTTGAAGGTGTTGTCCTGAGAGGTTTAATTAAAATCTTCATATAGGAATGCAATCTTTCTGCTCATACGTCAGATGTAAAAACATTCTGGGGCTTTTAATGATCACTGCAGCAATGTCGCAAGAAATATAATCTTAGTCTGATGCTAAACACCCATTTGAACAGATTTATTATTCCCTGCAACTGCAGAGGGAAGAAGTGAGTTTGATTTTGTCCTTCTGCTCATCTTCTATCCAAACTCAACACACAACGTTTAATTTTCAACCTTGTACATGTGCTGTTGAAAGGTCAGAGCCACTCCTACTTGTATTTAAATAAAAACAGTTCCTGGTTTTTGTACCTTCCAGTCCACGGGCGTGGCCACCTTCTTCTGCGCAGTCAGCTGCAGAGAGTCGATTACTCTAAGGATCTCATCAAAGTTCCTTCCTGTGGTGGCGGGGTAGAGGATGGACAGCTTCAGCTTCTTGTCTGGGCCAACTACAAAGACCTGAAGTGCATAAAGTTGAGAAATAAAATGAATAAAATTTGTCTAAATGAGGAGAAATAAAACAATGCTTAAGATTTCACCTGCCTGTCAAATCAATTTTGCATCTACACAAGTTTTGCATATGATACATACTTGTACACAAAAAGGCAGAACATGAGTAGAGTTTTACTTTTTACTTTGAGGGACACTGAATGCATCATTTGAACAGAAATCATTTTTTGTTTTGTTTTTTACACAGCGAGCGGTGAGAGGTAGTCCATCTTTGTCTTTCTCGTCAGGGTCCAGCATGCCAAGCAGGACGGCCAGCTCCCTCTTGTCATCAGCAATGATCGGGTAAGGTAGAGTCTTATCCGCCTCGCCGTTCAGTGCCATCACGTCCTGTGCAGAAACGACACGCGTCTCTTTAAAACATCTGTAGGTGTCACAGGTCACATTGTTCAATTAAGTCCTTGTCTACTGCTGCAGAATTCCAAAACCTTGTATTTTCCTCCTAAAAATATATATAAATTTTCAGAGAAAATAAAACTGAAGATTACCTTTAGGTAAAATTAAGACTTTCAATCCAGAACAAGCAAGTGCGTAGTCAGGTTTATTTGTCATATGCAAAATCAACACAAGGTCAACAATACAATGAAATGCTCAGGACGAGAAGAACCGTCTCGACAAAAAAATAAAAAATAGAAAGAAATACCAAAGCATGCAGCAAAGACTTAAAACATGTTAAAAAAAATACTACTAAAATACAGGTTAAAATAAAATACTACTAAAATACAGGTTAAAAAAAATACTATTAAAATACTAAACAAGGCACCAAAGTTGTAAAAGAAATAAATCTACAGTGTGGTTTGGTTAACAGAGAGGTTCTTTCAACATCATGGTTCTGTTAGCGGCGTGGTCTTGATAGCAGGTCCGGTCAGCAGCTTGATGATAATAAGAACCGCAGCAGCTGTCCTCACAGAACGCAGTCCAGAACTGGGTCCAGCAGACAGAACATTCAAGATTTTTTCCCGGCGGAACCGAACAGGTCCGTAGAGTTCAGTCCGTGCAGGCAGATGGAGGATCATGAAGACAGCAGCCATGACAGGCCAGAGCCTGAGGCTGGAGGGGGGCCGGGAACTAACTATGATGACATGATGGCAAGGCAGCAACACACAAAACTCCACAAGAGTGTTGCTACACCCGTAGCGTGAGTGTGAAGTGTAGGCGCAAAAAAAATAAGTTAACAAAAACAACAATCAGGAACAAAAAAAAAAAAAAAAAGTCAAAGCGGAGCTCCCATCAGTGCGGCCATGCTGGGGTGCTCGTGAAGTCACTCATACACACAAATACGCAAATATCACATAAAATGTAGTTTAAAAAAAATGTAACCATACTGCCCTGAAACATGATTATGATATTAACCAATAAAAATCATCAGTGTGATAACCAGCTGTTAATCACCAGTCCGCCCACAGATACATTAACCTGTTAAAAGTTACCGTGCACAGTTTGTTTCTCGAACCTTGCTCCAGCTGCAGTGATCCTCGACGCTGTCGACCGACAAGGCGATCATCTTCACGTCTCGTTTTTTGAACTCGTCAGCAAGCTTGGCAGCACGTGCAAGCTCAGTGGTGCAGACAGGAGTGAAGTCCCTGGGGTGGGAGAACAGGATACCCCATCTGCAGAGTTAAAGGAATAAACACATTTTCAGGTTGGAAATTACAAAACCTAGTTTGCGCAATGGTTGTTCAGATATAATGAAGAAAGACGTTAGCAACTCTGTCAAATTTAAAACAGCTGGGGCAGCTGTGGACGAGTGGTTAGAGCAGTCAGCCTCCAATGGGAGAGCTGGTGGTTCAATTCCACCAGCAGTCCCATGGTGAAGTGTCTCTGGGCAAGACACTGAACCCCTCATTGCCTCTGATGTGTGTCCCATCAGTGTATGAATGTGATCAAGCTCTGATTAGTCTTTGTATAAATATAGTAGAGTGCTGTATGAATGGGTAAATGAGGGCACAGGTTGTGTTGTAAAGAGCTTTAAGTATCTTGATAAGATAGAAAGGAAATATATATAGTACAGTCCATTTACCATTTAAAACCAAAGCCAACTGTGATGCTCCCTGGATGTGCAGATAAGGGTGCGAGCTCACGCGCAAAAATAGCGACCATTCTTACTAAGAAACTAATTTTTTTTTGTCTTTTTAATTCTTCATGTGACAATCACATGACAAAGAAACTAGAAAGTAGCCCTCCCTTCAGGCAGCATGATGATCACGTGATCAGTAGCCTATAAAAAGGTCAGAGGTATCCTAAAATCTGCCTTGTGATGGTTAAAAAGTGGCATGCAGGTTTGAATATGGGTTCTTAGGGATTAGGCTTCACTTCCTGCAGAAACAATCTGAGGAGAAACAAAACCGGAAGTCCAAAAACACAACTAAGGCGACAACTTTAGATGACTGCCTCTCACCAGCCACTATGTCCACAAACAAATACATTTTACTGGGCAATTTTTTTATGCATTTCAATAAAACTAGGTGCACTGATGTTCAACCTATGAAGGTGTCTAAATTTAAATCAAGACATGAAGATGGAGGGAAACAAATGTAGAAAATTTGAATGGACATGCTGGAGACTGACCACCACCAAGAATGTTTCTCCTGCTTTGTAGCTCTAATTTTTTATTATATTAAACAGAGCTGAAGTTATTCTGAAAGATTAAAAAAATGTTTCCAACAGTGTTCATCATCTTGAAGGATATTTTAAGTGGAAAACTGGAAAACTGATCAATTATTCTTATACATGATGCTATAGAAAATTGCATATTTGTATAAAATTACATGTGCTTTTATGTACTTTTCTATACTTTTACCTGCTTTAGCAAATGTTGGTTGAGTGCAGTTGTGTGTACAACACAAAGCCAGTTCTAGCATTACTATGATAGTTGGAAAAGAAAAAAGTTATTGCAGAGGCTAGAAAATGTAAACTGCATTGCTCTATCAGTTAAATAAAAAGACTCCTCTATTCATGTCTATTTTTTCATGCATCTAGAAATTTGGAGCTAGTGTTTCCTCTGTACAGTACATGGGTTACATTTTGAAAAAGGGATTGAAAAATTTAGACTAAGAAGAAAAACAACTGCAGGCGAATTGCAACATTTTACAGCGTCATGTTTGTATATGTTGCTGCCACAGTCTGGGTGGTCTAAAGACAGACAAGCCAGAATATCATAATGATAAAAATAATATTTACAAATTATAGTGCGCTCGTCATGGTTTACCCTCATGATGCTTCAAAGTATTTTAAAAGTAAATAAATAAATACTATTTAGCCTAAAGGAGAAGTCCAAAGCATGCGCACTTACGAGCCTCCCAGAAAATCGTGGAACTTGATTCTTCCAATCGTTGTGTCGGCCTCGAAGTTTGGCAACTCGTCTCCCAGCAGAAGTCCAGGCATGGTCGACCCTAAACTTAAAACTCACGAACCAGAAGACAAAAATGATGTTTATCGTCTTTATTACTCGCACGGTGCGCCCTGATGACCGATCAGCAACACATGCGCAGATCCGGATGTGGGCGGAGTTAACGGGCTGACACCAACCAATCACAGAAGAGGCGTAAGAAACGTAAGCTTTGTCTGTACTAATTCATAATTATCTATTTATTTTTAAATAAATAAATAAATAAATAAATAAATAAATAAATAATAACGACAGTATTTATTCATACAACCAGACGCAAAAGTAAAAATACACAAATAAAAACACGAGTAAATTTTGCACAAGTAAATTTTATTTGAATTACTTATACTTATCTCTCTGAATGAAACTCTATATTGCGCTCTATAATTACGTTAATGAATAGGAGTGGTAATGAAAAGCACTTCAGAGCTTTTTATGATGGGATTTCTAGTGTTTAATGTAATTTTTTTTTAAGAAATATAAACTCATCAAAGTAAACTAAGTGCATCGCCGTGTCTATAATATTAACTGTCTTTAGTGTGTTTATTATATTTATATATAATATATCGTGATTTTCTTTGTTTTTTATTTTTATTTTCGCCTCAGTGTATTTGTACGTGTATACCCTTTAAACACCGGCGTAAGTACCGGCTCGCGACGTAGTCCGTTCGTCATCACATCTAGCCAGATCACACCCCGGTGAACTCGTAACGAGCAGAAACACCGCAACGCTGTAAGTTTGTTTAATTTCCCAAGGTGCTTTGCGAGAACAACAAATATGGCGGTTCGAACTGCGGTACTAGGACGTGATAAGAATTGTCGAATGTACAACATATTAAATGAGTGACAGCCCTCTCAGCAGTGCAGTAAATTTGTTTTATAGTAGACGTATATAATTTACCGCTTGACTGTTGACGTCGATAGATTAGCAAACAAAATGCCTTCTCCTAAAGCTAAAAACGCCGGCCGCAGCGGCGGGAGCCCGGTGCTCGGCGGCTCCAAGTCGTCGATGAAACCGCTGAACCTGTCTTCACCGCCACACCACCTCCAGCGACAAGGTTCCGACCCGACCAGCGCCCGCCTCCGGGTCTCAGAGAGCCCATCTCGGCGCCGGGGCTCCAACTCCTCCACGGGCTCAGCGAGCGGTCAGGGGCCACCTGAGGAGAACAGTATGCGGCTCAACCCCTCCCTTGTTCGCGTTTCGCTCAGCTCCTTGCTTGCCATCGACCTGTGGTTGTCCAAGCGGCTCGGAGTATGTGCCTGTGAGGACTCTTCGTGGGGCAGTGTGCGCCCCTTAATGAAACTCCTGGAGGTATCGGGTCATGGTATCCCGTGGCTGGTTGGTGCCGCGTACTGTCTGTACAAGAGTGACAGTGCTGCAGGACAAGAAGTCATGCTCAACCTTCTCCTGGGTAAAACTGCTCTGCATTTATTTTACTCATTCAAAACTAACCCATTGAGAATCCAGACCTTTGTTTCCCAACTTTCTACTCACAACCCTGTTTTACCATCCTATTATCATACTTAAGTTCACTTTTCATTACATTTTAGGCCACTTATTTAAGGATACCTATCTGTGTGTGTGTTTCGTCACTTATGATCTCATGATTCTGATTTTGTTCCCTCATTGATTGCAGTTTCTCATCCTTTTATCTTATCCTGATGCATGCTCAATAATCCAGGTAGAAAAATCCAAAAAAGTTCAATCTGGTCCTCTGGACATTCAAAAAAACAAAAACAAAACAAAGCAAAAAAAAACTAGAAACGTTTCGTCTCTCATCCAAGAGACTTCCTCAGTCTGAGGTGCTGTTTTCAGCTCAGTCTCTTAAATAGCACCTTCTTAGAGTGGATCAACCAGTTTGCTGCTGACAACCAAAACCAGCTGATCACATGCTCAAGAAGGACCATCAGCCTAACAATGGGTCATTAGCACATCCTGGACAGAGAGGAACGATGGTTTGAGAGAGGAGTAAAGGAGGCCATCTTTGTGAAAATAAATCGTCCATCATTAAACAGGGGTGGAGGCCTCCGGGTTCAACTGTCCCCCTCTTACAATGCTGTGATTGCTAGTATCACTCAGCCCTCTGTGAGTAGTAAACAGACATCAGTGTGCTAATGACCCATTGTTAGGCTGATGGTCCTTCTTGAGCATGTGATCAGCTGGTTTTGGTTGTCAGCAGCAAACTGGTTGATCCACTCTAAGAAGGTGCTATTTAAGAGACTGAGCTGAAAACAGCACCTCAGACTGAGGAAGTCTCTTGGATGAGAGACGAAACGTTTCTAGTTTTTTTTTGCTTTGTTTTGTTTTTGTTTTTTTGAATGTCCAGAGGACCAGATTGAACTTTTTTGGATCCTTTTATCTTGTTTTGAGGTGCACACGTTGCCTCTTTCCTATACATGTATAACATATTAATGTTCTGCAGTTGAAGGACCAGAATTGTGCAAAGTTTAACACTAGGGATCTGTGCTTCCTAAATGTACACTTTTAAAATGTGTGAAATTTAAAACATATTAAGGCTTTGAATTGGGATTTCTTTCCTCTGTGTTTTTATAACTGCCAAAAGCCATAGCATGAAGTACAGTGCATCCAGAAAGTATTTGCAACGCTTCACTTTCTCCACATTTTGTGATAATGTGGGGAAAAAAGGATTATAGATTTTTGCAAATTTATTACAAATTTTTTAAAAATAAGAAAGAACATTTATGCAAGTATTCACAGTCTTTGTTTAATACTTTGTTGATCCACCTTTGGCAGCAATTACAGCCTCAAGTCTTTTTGAATAAGATGCTTCAAGCTGAGCACACCTGTCTTTAGGCAGTTCGTCTCGTTCTTCTTTGCAGAACTTCTCAAGCTCCATCAGGTTGGACGGGAGATGTCTGTGCAGCCATTTTCAGATATCTCCAGAGATCTTCAATCAGATTCAAGTGTGGACTCTGGCTTGGCCCCTCCAGGACATTCACAGAGTGGTCCTGAAGCCACTCCTTTGAGATCTTGGCCATGTGCTTTGGGTTGTTGTTCTGCTGAGAAACTCTTGCCCCAGTCTGAGGTCAAGAGTGCTCTGGGGTTTCATCCAGGATGTCTCTGTACATTGCTACATTCATCTTTCTTTCTATCCTGACTAGTCTGCCAGTTCCTGCTGTTGAAACACAATCTCGTAGCATGATGCTGCCACCACCATGCTTACTGTAGGGATGTATTGGCCTGGTGATGAGCTGTTTTCCTCCAAACATGAAGCCTGACATTCACACCGAAGAGTTCAGTTTTTGTCTCATCAGACCAGAGAATTTTGTTTCTCATGGTCTGAGTGTCCTTTGTCAAACTCCAGATGTGCTGCCATGTGCCTTTTTATTAAGGAGTGGTTTTCATCTGGACACTCTACCACACAGCCTGATTGGTGGATTGCTGCAGAGATGGTTGTCCTTCTGGAAGGTTCTTCCCTCTCCACAGAGGAATGCTGGAGCTCTGACAGAGGGACCAACAGGTTCTTTAAGGCCCTTCTTCTCTGATCGCTCAGTTTAGACGGCCGACCAGCTCTAGGAAGAGTCCTGGTAGTTCCAAACTTCTTCCATTTATGAATGATGGAGGCCACTGAGCTCACTGGGACATTCAAAGCAGCAAAAAAAATTATGTTTTCTTCCCCAGATTTGTGCCTCAACACAATCCTGTCTCAGATTCAACAGACATTTCCTTTGACTTCATGATTGGTGTTTGTGCTCTGACATGCACGGTCAGCTGTGGGACCGTATATAGACAGGTGTGTGTCTTTCAAACCAAGTCCAGTCAACTGAATTTAGTACAGGTGGACTCCATTCAGGTTGTAGAAGCATCTCAAGGATGATCAGTGGAAACATCTGAGCTCAATGTTGAGCTTCATGGCAAAGTCTGTGAATGTAAATGTGAATTCTTAGTTCTTTATTTTTAATAAATTTGCCAAAAACCAAAGCATTTTTTACAATGTCATAATGTGTGTAGAATTTTTAAGAAAGAGATTAATATAATTTGGAATAAGGCTGTAACAACAAAATGTGAAGAAATTGAAGCGCTGTGAATACTTTCTGGATGCATTGTACTGTATATATCTTGTAATTCTGTTTTTGAAGAATTTCAGAAGTAAAAATACTTCTGTCCAGCATGCTGGTGCAGTTTCCATTTAGATTCGCTGTGACTGAGAAAGATGTTTTGTATTAAATAAAATATAAGTAATAAACCGATATATTAGGACAGGTTCTGCTTTTTGTCCCTGAATGTTTTGAAAAATCAATGTTGGAACAAGTTAATTTTAAAGTAAAACAATTTCATAAAAGAGCAAACAAATTAAAATCATATGTTTTGACTGCTGTTGTCTGATTAAAGAACACTTACTGTATCACTAATAAATAACACTTAACATTTACTTTCAGTTTTGCTGACTTCACTTCAGTGATTCCCCTGCAGTCACTGGTTTAATCCATCTAATTATAGCCTTATTTTACCACTCCGGAGGATTTAAGCCCTAATTAATAAATTATGCACACCAACATCCTGCATAGCTTCTTTCAATCGATGTTGCTAACACTATTTCCACCTCACAGAAAACATATTTTTTCATCACTGTGGCTGGAAAAAGTACTTCAACATCTGTTATTGCTTCATTTATTTATTTATTTTTCAAGTGGAGTATGTCACTTGGGAAAGTTGTTGAGTTTCACTTATTTTATCTTTTTAACAAAACCACCAGATGGTGTCAAAGTAAACCATTTTAAACATTTTCTCCATCATCTTTCCTCCTCGGGTTGCGGGGTCACTGGTGCACATGTCCAACAATCACTGTGTGAGAGGTGTGGGACACCCTGGACAGGTCTCCAGTTCGTCACAGGGACAGATAGAGACAAACGAGACAAACAACCATTCACTCTCACACCTAGGGACAATTTAGAGTTACCGATCAGTCTAACATGCATGTTTTTGGTCTGTGGGAGGAAACCGGAGTATCTGGAGAAAACCCACGCATGCACGGAGAGAACATGCAAATTCCATCCAAAAAGGTGTCTGGCTGGGATTCAATCCGGCGACCTCGCTGAGAGGCAGCAGCTCTACCAACTGAGCCACCGTGCTGTCCTCATTTTTAAATCTCAATTTGTTCAAAGGAATTGCCTTTTTCCTCAGTTTAGGACATTTTTTAAACAATTGGGATGTTGCTTGTACATGTGGCATTAATAACTAACAATGCTGACATTTCTTTTTTCCTCTTCGTTTGTTTAATCAGAGGACACCATTTCTGACCAACTCGATGCCATATGCAATGTGGCTGTTTTTACAAAACATATAGCAATTAGGATTGTTAGTCTATTTTAAATGAGTATTTTGAGACAATATGTCACGTTTTTGCAACCACTCAGCAGCATTTCTGTAATGTTCCTGATACTGGAGTAAAGGCTGTGGTGGTGCTCACCTCCCCAGGGTACAAAATGCTGCTGCATGTCTTGTGATTGTTTTTACATGTCCCACACTCACCCCTTACATTTTAGGATTCTTTTTTAAATGAATGTATTTGCTCTTAAAGCCCTTCATGGTCTTACCTTGCCCTGCCTCTTTGAGCTGTTCCACCTGCACCCACCTGGTCAGCTGATCAGCTGCTCCTGAATGTCCTAATAACAGCCTCAAGGGAACAATACTTTTGCTGAGGCAGCTAAATTATGGAATGACCTCTCTTTGCACATTAGACAGACAATTTATTTTTCTTTCATTTGTTTTTATGATTTTTTTTGCATCAGCAGTGATGGATTTTTTTATTAGTATGTTTTATTTATCGTTTCAGACATAGCACTTCTGTCCTTTTTGTGTTTCATTATAAATAAAGCTGGATTGGATTCGACTGTACTGTCCTTTAACGTCTTAATATTACATCTTCATCTTCCTCCTAGGTCTCCTGCTGGACCTGATCTTGGTTGGCTTTGTGAAGGCCGTGGTGCGTCGCCGTCGGCCAGCCCATAACCAAATGGATATGTTCGCCACATTTTCCGTGGACCGCTACTCCTTCCCTTCTGGCCATGCCACCCGTGCCGCAATGTGCGGGCGCTTCCTGTTGGCTCACCTCGTGCTGGCCCCACCTCTGAGAGTCCTCGTTGTGCTGTGGGTGGGCCTGGTGGGGCTAAGCCGAGTGCTGCTGGGAAGGCACAATGTTACTGATGTTCTTTTTGGGTTTTGGATGGGGTATTGCCAGAACAACCTGGTGGAGATGCTATGGCTCTCTCCTCAAACTCTGCAAGGACAGCTGGGACAATGGGCTTAATGTTTATTTTTTCACAAATGCAGAAAAATCAAAAGAACACTTTTAAGGTTTGTGTAAGAAGTGATTATACGTGTTCTGCATAATATAGAATGTTTTTTAAAAAAGTACACACGCGCATTGTGAAGGCGTCCAAAACTATTTAAACATTTTAAAAATCTATCACTATATTGATGTGTCAGTGTGCTAAAGTTTAATTATCACTGTGTCGGTCGTTTGCTGGAAGCACTTTGGAAGCAGCTGCTGTTTTAAATGTGCTTTATAAAAAACGTTGACTTGCTGTTCTACATTAAAGAGCAAGAATTAGTGACGTCAACGTGACTACTATTATTTAAGGTCCTGAGATCTCCAGAAAATACATACAATTTAAAAACTATTATATTTGTTAGGAAATATAAAAACGGTCAAAAATTTAAAAAACAAAATAGTATGAGTTTAAGCTATTTGTTGTGGCCGTATAGCCATTTTTATTTCCTTATTTGTATTTAATTTCTTTTTACAATGTGTAGGATATTTTAGGTTGCAAGTTGTTGCGGTTGTTTTGAGGGTCAGGAGCGAAAATGTTTGGGGACTGTCTTTAAAGTGCTTTAGCTGAGTTCATGTCCAATGCCCTGCACTGTGGACTCGGTTCATGTGGGAAAAGGATCAAACTGGTTCACTTCCTTCTGATGCAGACGCTGCTTCATGCAGCAGCACTCATGTGACTGGTTCATGCTCACTCATGTGCAACAGCTGAAAATTACGCTTGTAGTTGTTTTGCACACCCTGCAGATATTGTGTTTGTTCATCCTCAGAATAGTGATGATAAAATCAAGAACAAATTAAACCAAAAAAGTCCATGCTCAATAATCCAGGTATACAATCCAACAATTTTCAGTCAGGTCATCTGGACAGTTTTTTTTTTTAAGAAATTGTTTCTTAAAGAAACTGTCCTGATGACCTGACTGAAAACTGTTGGCAAGAACAAATTGTTAAAATTACTATTTTATTTGACCATGTGAAAATTTGAGATGCATTCAGTTGCCGCTTGTGAATTTTAAAAAGTACACCAAAATTGTTGTAGCTCTGCAAACCGATAGACTATCCCATTGATAATTTTCTATATTACAGTTGAATTTTGGTTTTATTACATGATGAAGTTTTACAGAAATAGTCAGTTCTGTGGGTTACTGTTAAATACGTGTGAGTTATTGAAATTAGATGTGCTTGAATGTAAGAGACTGAGCCGCAGAGCCTTCTGGGTAATCTTCAGACAGAAAGGGATTATGTGTTCAGATGGTTTGACCCTTTCTGTTCAGTGCTGGGTTGGCATTTATCTTTCGGTTGATGTTCGTGACATTGAGAAATTGACGCCATAAGTCAGAACTGGAATGTGAAATGAAAAGGGAACGGTCTGCAACTCCATCTTGTTCTCTGTATCAGCGTATAATGGAACGTTACATCAGTCACCACTGCTGATTAGTATTAGCTGCATAAATTTAAAAATAAAATAAACTGGAGTCACAATGCGATTTTTAAATGTATTAAAGCGTATACATTTATGTTGCATGGGGAAATTTTGACACTTTTGTTGTTTGGCGTAAAAAAACATCTTAAAGCTAAACATATGGAGTAAAACAACAGCTGTTTCACCTTGTAGCTTGAATTTATCACAAGTAAACTTTCCAGCACTACAGGAGCCAGTCTGGAACCTGCTGTCAGGACTGAGCTGTCACTTGATGTCACGTTGGTCAATAGCTCTGATAGAAAGAGATTAAAGCTGCAGTTGTGGATTGTTAATTAAAATCTTTGCTGGTGATTTAGTTGAACCTTGTTTACATTCATTTAGCCTTAAAAACCATAGAACTGTGTTTTACTGTACCGGTAAATATATATTTTTTTGTTGTTTTTGCATGTGGGTGTTTTGTGTTCGATCTGTTGTGCAATGAGCCAGAAGGTTTATGGATCAGAAGGTGGTGTGTAGTTTTGTAACTGCAAACAGGCCAAATTAAATGTTTCATCATTGTGTAGAAAGTTGCAATACTTTGATAAAACGATCTACTTGTTATCAAATAAACTAATGATTTGACACAAATTTTCAGTGAAGGGTTTTTAGTCTTGAAGGCTGACGACCCATGCGTGAGTGCAGAAGTTGTGGTTAACATTTTGTGTCCTCATGACTGACTGCTATTTATATTCTTCAAATGCTGTCATTTTAGTCACAACTTTCAATAAAATCTGCTTTTTTTTTTTTTTGCACTTTGAACCAAGGAAAAATCTTGTGGCGTCATGGAACATTCCTTAGTCACTAATAAGTGTCACATGAAGAAAAAGGTTCAGCACAAACACCCTTGTTTCTTCCATGTTGGTTGATAGTGGAGCAAAGAGGTATTAGACGTATATTTGTCTTCATATCAACATGTAAAAAGGTTCTTATCCCATTGTTTTTTTAATTGTTAATCAGAAGAAAGCAAATATTTTTACTGTCATGTGCATCTAAATATAAATATGTTTTAAATTCTACCAGCATTTATACTATTTCCATTTTCTTTAACTAAAGGGATGTTTTGTCAGTTTATTTTCTCTACGAGGTGAATGTTCTGTTCCACTTGCTGTGATTTATTTTCTTGCACTCACTGTGAGGCTGTCGTGTGGATTTAGTGAGCTGATCTGATGATCTGGAATAAACCAGTCTTTTAACAAACTGTTTTATCAGCACTGTTTGATTGACCTGTGTCATACTGTGCCCTGTTTTTGTAATAGCAGACTGATAATCTTTCCACTACCATATATTAAAGTGGTAGCTCCTCAGATTTGCTGGACAGTAATTTTAGTGACCAAATCTAACAAGGATAAGTTGGATCCTCTGGATGGATTCTTTGTTGAAGCGTTGCATCTTTTATCCAAAAGACTTCTTCAGTCTGAAGAAGATTGTCTGCTGAATAGATTCTGTACATTACATTTCCAGAGTTTACTGCCAGGATGAGGAATATTTCCATCAGGAAACTTATCTTAAAGACTCAGCAGTCATCATGAAATCCTACATATTGTTAAACACGAGGTCAGCACTGGTCTTTCACCACATTCATTCCTGCTTGAGAAAAACTTATAATAAAGTTAATTACAAACATATTAATGTAACTGTGCCGTGTTGTATCTGAAATGATTGTTAAATGTTCTCTAAAGTCTGTAAGGATTTTTTTTTTTATTAAACATAAAACACATTTGAAACTGCTTCATGTTGTGGATTATTTTGTGCACAGTATTTAGCAGACTAATTATTATTGTTATTAATTATACTATAATTTAGCTGCCTTTGTTTTGGGGGGTATCTCAGTCAATACAAAGTCTTATTAAACTTTAAAAAATAATTTACACCTCCGTCAGTTAAATATGACAAGGTGTGCTACTGCAGTATGTGTCAATCACTATTTCACCTGCTTTATCCAAAGTTAATGAGAAGTCATTGAAGGAACAACACTTTAGATCCAGGTTTACATTAATACAAAATTATATATACTGTATCTATGTATAAACATATTCTAAATAGTATTCATCCAGAAAATGAATACTGTAATATGTGTTTTTTGTTATTTTACAAAATATATTAAAATAAAGTATTCAGTTGATGGTAATGTGGAACTGTGGTTTTTGACCTGAAAGAAGCTTTTGCTTTTATGATAACTTGATCAAAAAGGTAAGATATTTGCACATAGCTTTTATCTGCCTCAGTTCATGATTAAAAAGGGTTCAATGAGTGTAAGTTAATGATTTATCAAGATTTCAAAATGGGTGTTTTGCAAGGATCCATTTATAGACCATTGCTTTTTGCTTGAATATTAGTACCTGAAATGTGTGAAAACAATGTTCAGTACTAAAAATCCTTTTTAATCTTTTTTTAAGTTCACAGTAGAGTTTTGATTTAAAAAAATCTGTGTCAAACAAACTAGTCTTCAAGATCCTTTAAAAAATATATGGATACTCTGTGCCTTTTGACTGAAGATTTTAAAAAAGGACTCTTTGAGAGTGTTATCATCCATCCATCCATCCATCCATCCATCCATCCATCCATCCATCTATCCATCCAACCGCTTCTTCCTTTTCAGGTCACGGTGCCCATATCCAGCAGTCACTGTGCGAGAGGCGGGGGACACCCTGGACAGGTCTCCACTCCATTACATCGACACAGAAACAAGACAAACAACCATTCACTCTCTCACTCACACCTAGAGACAATTTAGAGTTACCAATCAGTCTAATGTGCATGTTTTTGGTCAGTGGGAGGAAACCAGAGTGCCTGTTATAAACCCACACGTGCACTGAGAGACCATGCTAACTCCACACAAAAAGGCCCTCGGCTGAGATTCGATCCTGCAAATTTCTCACTGAGAGGCAACAGCCCTCCACTGTGCTGGAGTGTTATCAGCCAATGTCATATTCTATGATGGTACAGAATTGAACCAATGCTCTTGGCAAAGATCAATTCCACTTTTGTGATGGTGGCAGTAATGTGCAAATGTGCTTGTAAATTTTAGAATGAATCCTAGATGGCTTTCATTGAAATAATTTTTAAGTGTCCTCATATATTGCAAACAACATGTTGCATTTATTAAAACTAGCAAAGCTAAGTAGACACATCATGTAATCATGTGTTTATTATCTTGTTTTTTCAGTTTTTCCTGTGTACATATGATAAATGTAGGTTGTCAAAGGAGAATTTATGCTACAATTGTGTTTGACAATAGTTTATCTTATCTTAAAAGAGCATTTCTGCACACCAAAAGATGACAATTACAATGGAAGGCGTGCATCTCTAACTAATACAGGTGCGTCTCAAACAATTGGAATATCATGAAAAAGTAAAAGTTTGTGTCCATGTCCTCTTCTGGTGTTCTGGAATATCTTACAAAAAGATCTGAAGATCTTGACCTTGACCTCTCTAAGTGGCTTTAAGAATCTGTTGGACTCCTGGCAGGGATCAATGCAGACATGTTCCTGTTTTTAGTTTTCTACATTCACCTTAGAATCTAGCTGTTTTTTGT